TATTATAGAAACAGTAAGAAGTGAGTGAAAAAAAACAGGTTACGTAAAAATTGTCTTCCGATGAAAGATTTGAATGTTGCTATCCATCCATATGACATGTGCAGCGTGTAGTTGGTCATTAGATATGATCGGATTATTCGGATATGATTATTTATTTCAAGTTATAATCTGCCGAAGAATATGGAGAATAAAATACGTGTCGTAACCATGTATGATATATCTAAAACAAAATGCAAAGAAGTCAGAATAGTAGCGCCCAAATAGTATCCATGCACATGCACGCTACATAAAATGAATAAACGGGAATATTTCTTTTCAGATTTTCATAATCAAAATGGAATTTACCTGGGCTAGGTGGTCGAATGGTTCAAGAGGTTTTACAGCTTTCTAAATATTTGAAGAGTAACTTTATAAAAATTATCGATAGCTCGTTCCTGAATATGAGAAATAACTCAGTACAATATGGCAGTGGGAAATCTAGTGACAAAATATTACCTTCCCTGTAAACACTGAAAACTAGATCTTCTCAATGTTTGTCCCATTATAGCTATAGAAGCTTGGTGTAAAATTGGTTTAAAATGTTGCTATGCGAATAAATTCCTGGAGTACCAACTTCAATTTATTTTTTTAATGTCTGTATACCTCTCTGGAACATGCTAATTATTCGTTTATATATCATATCCAGAAATCAACGCCACTTTGCTTATTTGAATATTATACTGAAGAAATCGGATACGGGTCACGGAAATTATATTGAAATGATAGGGAATTTTGAAAAAAAAATGTCTGTTTTAACTTAAATTTAAGTGATAGACAGGTTGCGGGGACAGAAAATAAATATACACAACAATATACACCATTTAAACGAAACATAATGACTGTCGTTGCAAAAATCAAGGTTCCTGAGCTATTTTAAAAATCGAAGCGAGAGGCTATTAACATTGCAGTATAAAATACAGGCTAAAATGGCTGAAACGTCAAATTTGCAAACTTCGTGTTGAAAATTGGCTAACAAGGTCATTACAAAAACAGGTTGCGGGGATGAAACTTGAAACTTGAATGTCCAAAGAATAAGCAAGTCCAAAACTTGTATGTGTAGTCGTTGAACTCTAGGTTCCCACGTAAAGTTAAAATGCCCCTATTTCAAGAAGAATAAACTCACGAAAACACGAAAAATTTACTAAATTCGCGTTCATTGTTTTGATTTTGACCGCCTGACAACTTTACGGAAATATCAGAGTTATTATAAACAAGGACTCTGTGACGGGCAACTTATAATATTCGTGTTTTAAAGATTTTAATGATATCAAGCCAGTCCAGTTCAAACTATTATCACGTGGTACAATCATATTTACATATTATGAATATTAATTAGCAAAAGTACTACTAATTTCTGGCTATGTATGGAATCGATTGATATGCAGCAAAAATTGGCACTTTTGAAATTAAGTTACTAAGCAAAATCAAACAGACCTTATCTCGATGTAAAATTTGAATGTGAATAGATCGAGAAGACCGTAAATACTTGTACAAAACTCGAGACGACCTTTTCTTAAAATTGTATACAAAATAGTAGAAAGATATCTACTTTATAAAAATAGTTATCTTTAATTTTTTAACCTGCACAGACAGACTTTTAAATGTTTATATTCAAGAAAAGACAATTGTTCTCTATAGAATGTACATGTGACAAGAGCAGACCGGTGTGCTCGATAACTTAGGTGTGAAAAAATAAGTATACTTTGGGAAGTTGTAACATGCTAAAGACTTTTTGGAACACTCAGAAAATTGGTGACCCGAAAGATCTTTCAATTTGTATTTACATGATTTTTTGCATTTTTTTTTACTAATATACAGTAAAGATTGGCAGATTTTAAATTTCAGTTTCACAAGCTTCTAAAGCAATTATCTCGATAAATACTGAACATAAAACATCGTGTTTTTGCATGTATATTTCTAATAACACAGTTTAACAAATAATTTCTTTAACATGTACAATAATTATTTAGAAATAACTTTTGATCAGTATCGTCACCGGTATTGTTTTATTATTGCCTTTCTCGATTCTATCATAAGAAGAGTGAATTTTCTTTTGTTTTCGTTCACTGGATATCCCACTGATGGGTCTTGAATCAATTTGTTAACCATTAAAAAAAGAAATAAAAACAGAAAAATTCAGTGAAATTACTCTTATTTGTAAAGTCTTTTAAATATAAACAGTACGACCGCAATGCATTTGCGCCAATTTCTAAAAAATGCAGTTATTCATTTGCGCCACAAGCTTTTATTCATATGCACCCAACAAAAATAATAAATAATAAATACAATTTTGCGCCATTTATCAGGTAACATAAATGACAATTAAAGTTTCCCCCGAGTATGTAAGTAAGTTCATACTCATTTCTCATACATAACTAAAAGTTACGTACATGTAGGTATAAGATTGTACAATGTACACATTTTTAGGTGACACAATTCAATCCGAAACAAACAGAAAATAAGTTATCATTTTTTTATGACACATACAGATTATCCAGTGTATTGCAAAATAGGGAAAAGTCTTATATATGCGAAGAAGAATCACTGTGAAAACAGACGGGGATTAATAACAATGTTTTATCATGCAAACAAAACCTGTAGTTAAATTTTGTGTTTAACCTTATAATGAAAACTTTTAAGAACGTTTCCTGCTCGATATCCTCATAATTAAACCCCCGTGTTGCCGAGGGGTAACATATAATGAAGGCAAATGGAAAAGATTAATACAAATAAATTTGAACCCCGCCATATTCTTAATGTGCCTGTCCAAAGTAAGGAGCCTGTAAATCAGTGGTCGTTGGTTGCTGTCTATCTCGTTTGTATTTCCCTTATTGTCTTATGCTTATTGTTTTGTACATAAATCCGAACGTTGGTTTTCTTGTTTAGGGTCAAGGAACAGTAAATGGGCTATTTCACAGATTTTGGTAAAATTTTGCATACAACTATGGCTCGTTGAACTTCAACCGAAAATAGAAAAAAATAATGCATATACTGGTATATCCTTTATATCTAAAATATTACTGATTGGTTTATTTCAAAAAAGGTGAACATTTGTATAGAAAACACATACAATCGGCTATAAACGTTCTTAAATTTGTCTTAAAATCATCAAATGTCCAGTTTTAAATCCATAAAATTTTCTTAAAAATATATATTTTGTTTGTACATAAATTTCCGTTTTAATGATATATAATAATCATAATTATGGTCGCCGACTTCGTTTTTTGTGTATTAACCAATCTGTTACCTATTTGTTAGTGAGAAACGTCGAAAACGGCCTACAACAATGATGGGTATTTTTTTTTCTCCTAGAACACCACTTTGATGTATACCATAAAAACGAAGTCGGTGACCCTATTATTATTTTACATGTTTTATATTTTGGGATGTCGTTGCCATTTATAGCTTACTTAACGGTATGGGTATTGCTCATTGCTGAAGGTCGTCTTGTGAGACATATATTTGCTTACATCTACGTCGTTTGGTCTCTGGTGGATACTGTTGTCTCGTTGGCAATCATAACACATCTTATTTGATAATGATGTGTGATTTATGGAGCAGATGAAAGGTCAATTGGCGCAAATGGAAGGCCAATTCGGGCAAATGCAAAGCACCAGGTTTTTGATAAAATTTTCATCTTATACTTCTTATAATCCAATCATAGATAAATTCAAAGAATTATAGAAAATTGAATGAGATAAAGCATGAGAATAGCAATCATTGTATAATGTTCATCTTTTGATTTGTAATAAAATAGCTTTCAAAATATATAAGCTGGGAACACTATATCATATCTTATATATAAAAAAGCTCATATTTTTTGACAATTTAATTATAAGTTTATAAGTTATAAAAAAAATGTTCAGTTATATTTTTTTCTTCAAATTCATTACAAATGATGATTAAATATAGCACTACAATAGATAATAAATAATAAATAAACTAATTGGTTAATTATGATATATTCATGACTATCTCATACCATAATGTTAATCTTGCCAAAACCAAATCTAACTAACTGAGCAGTTGCTGAAAACTGCTTGACTAATCATGCTAATGTCAATAATAACAACTTAAACTAGCCCAATATTTTTTCACCGTCTTTGAGACAGTTACTCGTAATTTCGTCAAACCAGCATTTGCCAACATTATCTAATTAGCTGTTTCTTCCACTATACTTGATGCATCTAGAGACAGACAACGAAATTGGGAACCGCTGACCAAGACAACGACGACCGCACTGGTAAGACGTGCAGCAATTCTATCCCTTGCCCAGGTATATTGAATTTAAAGACGCCGCCGAGATTGTAATCGACACGACAGCTTTCACCAACTATCTCATTCGAGTACTGGGTATTAAGAATCATCTGTCAGAAATGGAACATCTTCTACAACGAGAGACTACGCACCAACAACTCCTATAAGAGGAACGTCACAGCAAACTCAAGAAGAACGTATGCCTTCATTTTTATCAAAAATTATATCAGGCCTTTTTTGTTGCAGAATAAATCCATCGCAAACCATTGTGTAACCTATATTTAACTTTTGTCGGTAAAAGGACGTATGATGTCGTATTCAATGTTACTTTTCTATATGAAAGGTCAGCACAAATTATTATTCGAACATAACGAAAACTAACAAATCGTTTTTTTTTTTCTTTTTGCTCAAAGACAGGCATTTATTGCGCATACATACATTGATAACGTAATGAATAAAACAATATGGAAGAAATATTTCTTAACCATGTGTCATGTTCCACCCACCAACAAATACAATACTACCTGACTTTAACAATTATATGAAGATTACTTTGTCTAGGAAAGGCATAACGATAGTACTTCTTAATTGTTTGTGCATGTTTAAAGAGCAAAAATACATTAGTCTGCAACACAATAAATCACCTTACAAAAAACATACCTATTTCAATCCATGGCATTTGCGGAGAAATTCATATAACATACCTTGTGATAGTTCCTTTAATCAAATTTTCTTCTTTATTTTATGACACGGTGAAAGTGAGTTGTCCTGGTTTTAGAATTATGCTGCAGCAGCTTTATTGATTTACATTTAAAATGTTTGCTCTGTCACCTAGGTACCAACGATCAATGATATACCACAGTGTATCATTTTTATTTTATTCAAACATGGATATATTTACTAAAATGTTAGAAAATGGTACGCGATTTAATGGAGTTATTGATCTTCATTCTGATATATATTCACTTTGCTTAAATGTACATTTATGGTTATCTCTTGCGTAACAGCACAAACACATTTAAACAGGAAATTGATTATGCAATTTTCGGACTACAGTTATAACATTAACGGTATCTGTAACTATATTTAAAAAAAGAGAAATGGGTGGTTCCGATATTTATCATATACTTAGTATTCATATGATAATTTTTGCATATGTGTAACGAGCGGAAGTAAACTAGCCATAAATTCACACCCCGGCTGATAACCCATATCCGTTCTATGTGACGTCAAGTGGTCGGGCTGATATGGGGTTATCAGCCTGGGTGCGTTCGTACATAGGTAATATATGATAAAAACATTAACACCTGTCCTTTTCAAGAACACTTTATACTTTCAAACTTTTGTTTTGAACAGATATATCATGTTATGGAGGGGTATTTGCGAAAAATACCAGTCAAGGGACTCTGAAATTTTCAAAGCCGCTAGGCGAGGGAAATTTGGTCCCAAGACTGGTATTTTTCGCAAATACCCCTCCATAACATGATATATCTGTTTAATTACACCGAATAGATTTTGATTTAAACTCTCTTGTACAGGTGAAGGGAAATCTCGAAAGCTGTAATCCATAAACATGTTTATGCATAATTTTGAGGATAAGTAGAGACTATCATACTCACTCACTTTGCAGGGCTGCCAAGTTTAGCGTGAGACTCACGCATTTTCATGCATATTTGGCGGCATTTTCCAAGAAATAACATAAAAATGTGGTGCACCCTTTAAAATAACCCGCTACGCGAGTTATTCAGTGTGCACCACATTTTTGATGTTATTTCTTCATAGACAGAAAAAATATTACAGTCATTCCTTAAATATTGCTTAATCATGTCCAGTCGGAAAGCTGACCCCGGTTTAACCCCATTTCTTAAGGTAACAGGTACGTAAATGGCTTGTCCAGCGATTTTTAAAAGAAATTGTATTCACGTAAAACTTTTTAAAATACAAAGAAAAATCGAAAAATTTAAGTGGGTAACCGATCTACTTTCAAAGTTAGTCATTTGAAAATGTTAGGAAAACACCATAAAGTACATAGACATAACGTCAAATTTACGCCAAAAATGAGAAATTTCAAGCTTAATTTAATCTTCAGTTAAAACCATTCCTACGATTTTTATATAAAAATTAAATGTTTTTTATGATAGAATTTTCCTTTCTATTGATATATAATTTTCCTATGGTTACCGAACTCCCTTTTTATATATCAGCCGTTGAAAAGGTGTTGCCGACGGGAAAAGATAGAAATTGCATGACGTTGCCGAAAAACATTACGTCAAATCTCCATCAGCAGAATCGTCGTCTACCAAAAAAGAAAAATTGTCACACAAAAACAACAACCGCTTCATAAAGGTGTCTCTTTGATTATAATTTGTTCCTCTAAACTAATATTATATGCGCTATAGCGCCTATGGAATAATTATCCTGTCTGAAAAAAAGTGTTATTTACCGATTATTATTTTTTTTACGGATTATATGAGACCCTCGACATGTATAACTTATTTCTTCAATCAGTGTGGGGTTTACGTCAATGAAAAAAAAACGTTCCCTTGAATTTGACAGTTGAAATTAATCCTACATTTCATTGCGGTAAAAAAAATTCTTGGTCATAAACATAAATCTTGGGTGTTTCTAAGCACCATTATTTTTTTATTTGGTGTTTCTATAGAATATTTTGGAAACTTGAGGTTACATGGTTACTAAAGCTTGTACACAGAAAAAAATAGAGGTGAATATTTTATTGGTTAACTTCCAGTGATGGTTATTTTCTTATATGCAATGAAATGTTATGTGAATTTTTTTTCTATTTTAAGTAAGTAAGTAAGTAATCTTTATTTAAAGTCGGGATGCATATATACATGATAACAAAGAACATGAGCTCTTAAGAGCTCTTTAACCGACTGATATTAATAAACAAAACATACATGTAATAACATCATACAACACAAACATACAGACAGCACATACATGTATTAATCATGTTAATACATAGCTGGCACATGCAAAATAAAAGCTAGGCAAGATATATATTAAAACAAATGTCAAATATCAGCACATAGTAACACACAATATGTGTATCCAAGTAGCACATGCAAAATTAAACACTATAAAGCACAAGCAAAAGACTGCAAGCAGCTACAGCACAGGTAATGCATAAGCAAAGCAAATAAATAATAAATAAAAATAACTGCAAAAAATAAAAAATAAAAACATAAAACAAACAGCAGGCTTCAAGGTCAAGTCATGTGGCAGCAAGGAGTTACATTATTTACAAGAACTGCAGGTACAACTTTCTGAAAAAAACACCAGGTGGAGATAAAATTTTTGAACTGGCCAAAAGTTGATAAGCTCCCTGCCTCTTTTGGCAAGGAGTTCCAGAGTCTTGCTGCCTCATAACTAAAGCTTTTCTTACCATACCTTGTTATTTTTGGCCGTGGTATATCCGCAATGCCTTTGTACCTGAAGTTATATGAATTTTCTTTAATGTTTATTAAATTATGTAGGAATTCTGGACTTGATTTATTAATTATTTATAAGTCTCTAATGCCATGGTTCTCATTCTTCTGATTTTTAGTGCTAGTAGCTTAGACTGTTCAAGGAGTGTATCGTAAGAATTTTTGTAGTCATCATAAATGAATCTGAGTGCTCTTTCTTGTATTTTTTCTATTTTCTTTGTGTTTTGTTCACTGCAGAAGTGCCATGTGAGAGGACAATAGCTGAGGTTTGACAAGATAAATGAGTGGTATATTGTAAGTTTAGAAAGTCTGGTGAGATGAGTGCCGATTCTTTTTAGTACGTTTAGTTGTCGTGCGGCTTTTTTTACATATATTTGAAATGTGAGTGTTGAAATCCAGTTTAAAGTCTATTGTTACACCTAGAAGTTTCACCTCATCGTCACATTTTATGTTGAATCCATTTAGGTTGAAGACCATATTTTGAGTGTGTGTTTTTTTACCTATGGCAATTGCCTGGAATATTTCTGGGTTTGCCTGCATTTTGTTGAAAGAGAACCATGATATTAGGGAGTTTCTATCTTCGTCTAAAGGTTTTATTACTGATTCCAAAGTAAGACCTAATTTAGAGAGGGTGTTATCATCAGCATAGTTGTATAAATCACAGTGTTTGACAAAAAGAAAGTTGTCATTTATGAATACATTAAATAATACAGGGCCTAATATAGATCCCTGATGAACACCTTTATAGATATCTTGCATTTGAATGATACTCTGTCCTATTTTTACACACTGTTTTCTTGTCGTTAGATAACTTTTGAGCAATTCAAGAGCAGATGGACTAAGCCCATATTTTTCCAATTTGCAAAGAAGTAGATCATGTGGAAGACAGTCAAAAGCTTTACTGAGATCCATCAATATTGCTGATAAGTATTTGTTATTATCCAGTGCCTTTTTCCAATCTTCCAAAATTTTAAGTTAGGTTGACTGACAGTCATAGCCTGATCGAAAAGCCGCAAGGAAATGGTCGAAAATATCATCAAAGTATTTAGTAAGTTGATTTTCTATGGCTGTTTCAAAAATTTTAGATATAGCAGGTAGACCACTAACTGGTCTATAGTTACCCTTTTCAAGCACACTATTTTTTTTATGAATTGGTGCCACTTGGGCGATTTTTAACGAGTCTGGAAAAATGGAAGTGGATAATGATAAATTAACAAGCTGTGTGATACGTTTAATCACTACAGGTTTAGCAGCGTGTAAAATTTTTGGTGATATACCATCTATACCAGTTGCCTTTTTAACATTTATTTTACCAATTCTTTTAGAAACAAATTCTTCATTTCTATAGTACTGGACAGGATAAAACTTTACTCATGCCAAGTATTTCTTTATTTGAAACAAAGATAAATTGTGCACAAATTTAACAAAGACTAATAGGGGAAAATCAATGGTGATATTACCACCTAAAGGGTAATTTTCGAGCAGTGGATTTGTAATTTTTCCTTCGCGTATTTCCATGCTTGAAACTCATTATCCCCAATGTTCATTTCAAATTGACTAAAGAGCAACGTGTAAACTTTTTTTTTTTATAATTTTTCGTTCATTTTGAAAGACCATTGTACTTCCCGTTTGTCCGTTCATAAGGTCCCATCCCCATTTCGATTCGCATTCAGTTTTCTTTTCCTTTTCTCTTGCTTACCCTTCTGATGTAATTCCACAAAGGAGTAGGCCCGGTAAGACCCTTTTTTGGCCCCAAAATATAGCAGTTTTACAAAATTATCAAAATGTAAATTTTTAGCTATTTATTGGAAAGAAGAATACTTCTGTTGCATAAACATGGGCTGTTTTTGACAAAACAATGCACATGTATCGGGTACTAGCATCATTAAGTCATGCAAAATTACTGAAATCTTCGAAATTTTAGCATTTTGGTTAATTTTTAGACGGTTTTCGTCTGAAATGGAAGTGGTCGCATTTATGTTCATTCTTAATATTTAAATGTAAGTTGTATTTGATGATAATACATAACATATATAAAGGTTGAGAATGAACACGGATGCGGCCACTTTCATTTTTGACAAAAACCATCTGAAAAGTGACATATTATGGCATATTTGATAGATTTTTCATATTAAAGCTTGAATTTGAACGTCTTTAATGACTAAATCAGTTCAATTCTTTCAGATAAACTAATTGAATCGACTGAAGTAGACACTTAATTGTTTAAAAAGTGTCCAAAATCTTTCATCAGATGAACCTGAATTTTGAGGCCAAAATCGGCCCTTACTCCTTTCATGTCACGCAGCAATTTAAAACTCTTGTTCAATATTTTTATTAAAAATTATTTGCTTTAATCCTTTATTTTTCACACTCGGTACTAGCACTTTCCACTTCTATTTATAGACCATATTGCGGACGTGAAAGAAAGCACTGTAAACAACGGTTTTTTGTTTGTTTGTATAAACATCCAAATGTTTATATTTATGTTAGAAAGTGATTATCTAACACGAATATCAAATCAAGAATATCATTATTAAGCTTATAACAGTGTGTTTCCTCTTTTTTGTCGAGAGTTGAACATCTCTTAGTGTTGACAGTTGTTTTGAGAAACGAATTAATTTCTTTGTATGCAACTGTAAGTGTGCGTCTTGGACTATAGGCTATTTGCTATGGAATTTCAATAAATAAAATAAAAATAAAAAAGTCAACGTTATAGTGTGAGCTTTGATTTGTTATTGTGTGTATATGCAAGTGTTTTTAATATTCTTACCCATACTACATTTTGTATTCACGTCCCATATCAACATTCCCTTTTTTGAAGTCTCTGATCTGTGCCGTTTACCAGTGTTTATTAAGTTTGTGTAGGGACAGCTACCACAAGGTATATACAAAATACTTCCGAGACCGTATTTTTGTTCTTTTAAACAGTTGTGTAGAAACAATGGTGCATAACAGTTCTTTCAAGCTTTAAGTTGGTCAGCTAGTAAACCCAACTCAACCACTCTTCGACCATCACGCCATGCCAAATTACTTTCATTTTCTTGGGAGGGAAGCAATGTTTCACTCGGACAAGACATTTCATTTACAATTACTACACTTTTTGTTATATTTTGATGAGAAGCATTCAATACCTTTCCACCGAATTGACCATTTTTCCGACGAAGCGGAATACCTTCCGACATCTTGAAAATATTTTTCTGTTGTAAGGGAGATAACTCTCATAACAACGAACGCTATCCCGTTATCCGCTAGAGGCGTTCATTTACGTACCTCTCACCTTAAAGCAACAATGGAAGTCATGTGACTACCATATTTGGGCATTTTTGAATTAAAATACAAAGCCTTCAAACCAAAGGACGTCACTCACTCAGTCGCGTCAAGTTTTTTCAACACATCAGTTGAAATTTCTTTCTTAACTTCTGGGGAACCTATGCTGAATTTAAAATATGTGATGAGGCTTTTTATAAACTAGCCCGTGTCAAATTTGTGTCACTTAATACGCTGTAATACGCAAATGTGCCACTTCGATGTGTCGATATTTCTGACAAAGCGGTGCCGATAGTAATTTACGAATTACGTCCCTTTGTTGACACTTTTCATGAACAATCTTATTGGTACTATCATATATATTATTATTATATTAAGCACCATATGCTGTTATATACAAGTGAATATTATTAAAATAATTTTACTAAATATATTTTGATACTAAAGACATATGTAAAACAATTAACGTTAGGTAAACACATTTTATCACTTTTACAAAAATTTCAGAACTGAAATAGGGCTTTGATATTACTCTGCGCCATAATATATTATTACAAGGGTATCTTTAATATTTATATTTTGGTAAATATGTTTACTGCTGTAACCAAATTATATCAACACAGAAATAAATTTCTACTACATAAAGACAAGGGGCAGCCAAAATATGCATGAATACTTGACCTAGACAGGGTTAAAATGATCACAAACAGGAATTCTGTTTCAATATTGATACCTGATCCTACCTTTTTCATTTAAGTTACATTTAAAAGAAATAAAAATCAAAGTACTCTCAATGTAAATTCTTCATTATTTGAAATAAAAGGAAATTGGTTTGCAATCCTTGATTAAACTAAATATAACAATACATTTTGTCTCATTGATTCCATGCAAGTTCTAATGAATGGACTCAAATTATAAAAAAAAAGCCTAAACCAATGGATAATTATTTAAATGGTTTATAGCCTAATCATGAACTTGCGAATAAATAAGCTCGGTCTCATATTTTTCTTCTTCTATTTAAAAATAATAAATAACTTTGCATATATTAAAAGTATTTCAGAGCAGTTTCTGAGTGCTAAGTCAACACTTATGTTTTAGATCACAAGTCATATGTAAGTCACACTTCATGTAAGTATGAAAATGCGTTGAATAAGAGTGATTAAAATGCAAGTCTGAAAGAGATTGTTTTAAGTTCAAAGGACAAGACTTTTGCATTTACTTTTGCAGGATTCCTTCATAACAAAAAAAAATGATACTAACAATGAATGAGTTTTTTTAGTCACCTTAAGGTTGTGCACAGACAGTATAAAATTTCCTTACCTTATAGTTTTAGTTAACGTCAAACATTTCACTTAAAGAGAATATTTAATCCAGTCAAATTCACAGCTGAACTCGCCATTGCTTTTTCAAACAACCACACTAAATGTGTGTACATTATGTTCAGATGCATGTTGACATCGATGTGTAAGACCAAAAAAACTACAATGTCAAAAAATGTCTTTCTTTTGGAATTTTGTTCAAACGGGGTTTCCTAAGGGGTGACAGAACGTTAGACTTGAATTTTTTTTTAACTTTAAGATACGCGTATTATTAATTTGTTATATAGTATAATCTTTGTTTCTCTAATTCTTCGTCAATTTATCCCTTTCTGCACCCATTGTATAAAAAAAATTTAATCAACGTGTGGTTCGTTTGATCTCAGTTCTTCATTGGTTAAAATCCGATTATGACGTCAAATTTTCTTGCTTTCCTCTGAATTTCCTATTGTGACGGCATGAAAAAAGGCGACCATGCCTGATGACGTCACATAGAAAGAACACATCTTTTTGCAGATCATTCGAAAAGAAGGAATACATTTGCCTGCGTATTGTTTGAAAATCATTAGAGAAACAGATTCCACCACCAAATCTCGTGTAATACGATATATATCCACTCTCGACAGTTAAATTTTAAATATTTAAAACGCTCGGCGAGCCTCGCGTTTTAAATTTGAAAATTTAACTGTCTCGAGTGGATAAATATCGTATCACACTCGATGCAGTGGTAGAATCTATATTTATCTGTGAAAAAAGAAGAAAAAATAACAGATAATTTCGCATAATCTATTAACATAATTGTTAAAAGACGGCCAATATTTAGGTATTATTTTCTTTAATAATAAGACACATGCTTAAAAGATAGAAAGAAATCTATTGCTGACCCCAATGGCAAGTAAGAAACAGAAAATAGAAAATTTTCCAAATTACCGCCAAATAATTTTTTATCCGCGAAATTAACGCAATTTCAGAATGGCGGGCTTTAATATCAGTCCCATTGTTGTCTTTTAAAAGAAAGTAGCAACAACGGTAGACTGGTACACGGCCGTTATTGAAAATCTTGACATTACGGTCCGGTATGGGCTAATTTTACTTCTTGAAATGAACGATCTCGAGCATGCGCAATTACGCATTGTTGTACCTCTACGCCGCTTCGAAGATGGTAGTGTGTCACAGAAAGCCACGGTACAGGTGAGTGGAGTAATTTCAAGTTGCCCAAATTGAAAGTTAGATTACCGAAACTCGCCCGACTCGTGTGGCATAAATTTTATGGACGATTTTTAATCGCCCACAAATGGGCAGGCTTTTGAAGTGGCCGCTGAGCCCTTGTTTTTGTGTCAAACTCACAACTCTAGCCAAAACAATTGAAAAAGCAACTAAGCAAGCTGTTAAAAGTGAACAATAAACATGCTGCTCGTTTGTTGTCGGTGTTGAAGATAAAAGTTAAGTAATTTAATCTATTTTCCCGAAGATAGCTTTGTACAAATTGTGTTTTATGACGTGAAACTCAAGGGGAACTGAAACTCCCTTGCCAGGAGGGCTCAAAAAGTTGTACAAAATAGCATTTTGAGGCAGTGATCCTCAAAACACGTCCACAACGAGAAGACCTTGGTGTATATTGGTCCCAGTTTCTCTATGTTACGGTAGGAACAATCCCCCCACCCCAAAAAAAAAAAAGGGGGGGGGGGGGTAGTGTCATTTAAATAGAGGCATGCACAGCTACATCAAGTGGAAGTTGGGACGATAAATTCCATGTGTTTGGAAAAAAGTACTGCAGCAAGTTACTATACCCATTGAAAAGTTTTATTTAGGGTTCTCAGGCTGAATGCCCATTGCAGTCTGTGCAAGAAATTTTAATATTTTTCCTTCATACATGCAAGACCCTAAAAATAATTCACTAAATTTTTATCAATTTTTACCAGACTCGGATATTTGGCTAGTGGCAAGGCAAAATATGTACCCCTATGGAACATGTAAACATTTTCCTGTGCCAGTTAAATTTCTGACCTTTTTATACGACCGCAAAAAAATTTTGCGGTCGTATATTGGTATGACGTTAGCGTCGTCGTCGTCCGAAGACACATTGGTTTTCGCACTCTAACTTTAGTTTAAGTGAATGGATCTCTATAAAATTTTACCATAAGGTGTCATACCACAAAAGGAAAGTGGGGATTGATTTTGGGGGTTATGGTACCAACAGTTAAGGAATTAGGGGCCAAAAATAAGCATTTTTGTAACTTCCAGACATAACTTGTGTGTTAGTGTATGGATCTCTCTGATATTGTACCACAAGGTTCCATATCACAAAGGGAATGCTGGGATTGATTTTGGGGGTAATTGCCTCCAAATTTTAGGAATTAGGGGTCAAAAAGGGGCAAAAAACAAGCAGTTTTCTAGTTTTTAGACAATAACTTGTGTGTAAGTGTATGGATCTTTATGAAATTGTATTACAAGGTTCCATATCACAAAGGGAAAGCTGGAATTGAGTTTAGGGGTAATTGCCCAAAACGTTTAGGAATAAGGGGCCAATAATAAGCATTTTTCTAGTTTCCAGACAATTACTTGTGTTCAAGTGTATGGATCTCTCTGAAATTGTACTGCAAGGTACCATACCACAAAGGGAAGGCTGGGATTGATTGTGGGGGTAATTGCCTCAAAATTTTAGGAATTAGGGGCCATAAAGGGGCAAAAACACAAACATTTTTCTAGTTTCAGGACAATAACTTATGTGTAAGTGTATGGATCTTTATGAAATTGTACTACAAGGTTCAGTATCACAAAGGGAAAGCTGGGTTTGAGTTTGGGGGTAATTGCCCTAAACGTTTAGGAATTTGGGGCCAAAAAGGGGCCAGAAAACAAGCATTTTTCTAGTTTCCAGACAATAACTTGTGTTCAAGTGTATGGATCTCTCTGAAATTGTACTGCAAGGTACCATACCACAAAGGGAAGGCTGGGATTGAGTTTGGGGGTGATGAATCATAAGGGGGTTCAAAAAATTTGGGGGGGGATTTTTTTTCCCTTTTTTTTCTTTAAAATTCTCTATTTTAAATTGGTTATTTCTGATTTATATATAAATGCAAATAATAATGATATGGTTTGAATAGGTAAATTAAAAAAATTTAAGTTCTTAGACCACATTCATTCTGTGTCAGAAACCTATGTGGGGGTTCGTGGTGTAGTGGTTAAGACCGATGGCTACAGTGCTGAAGGTCCCGAGTTCGATTTTCACTCGAGACGTCGAATTTTCAGTACATCAGTAGGGTGATTTTCACCCTCCCACACACATCTCTGGTATCCAGACCGGAGTTTAAAGTTGTTCCCAGCTTGACCTGGAGATCAATCTTCTGAAATCTCTTCGGGTTGTCTGTTCCCGCCGAGAAGCCCGGTGGTTCTCTCCGAGTACTTCGGCTTCCTCCACCATAATAACAGACTTCCCGGTGTCCTACACGCTCCCTTGGGCGGTGTTGGGGTGGGGATTGTTCTGGTGGTGGGTTAATATTGTAAAGGACACATCTCCATTAATCCTTAGGGAGTGTACATGGATCCGCTGTACCCTTGCAGTCAATCAAGGGGTGCGTCTACACTGGCGGAATCTCGAAGTACATATGCTGTGTCAAATATTTAATTACAAACCACATTCAGTGCTGTATCAAGCTTGAATGTTGTGTCCATACTTGCCCAACTGGTCAGGGTTCGACCTCTGCGGTCGTATCAAGCTGCGCCCCAGCGGAGCATTTTATTATTTTTGTAAAACAACAGAAGATGTGGTATGATTGCCATTTAGACAAATCTCCAAAGAAACCAAATTACACAGAAATTAACAACTGTAAGTCACTGTACAGCCTTCAACAATGAGCAAAACTCATACATGCCTATTAAACTATAAGAATTATTTGAAATTTGTTTACTGAACATTTATGAAACACTTGCAACTGGATATCACAGTAATCATGTCAAATGAATGATACATTATGATGTGTTTCTATGACTTGCAGAAACTTTATACACCATTTTAATCATCAACTGCCAACTTTTAATATGTTATTTGACCTTAAATTAAGAAAAGGTTGGGCGAACAACTTCATTATTTTAGATATACTCTTGCATATAGTTCCTTTTGTAAATCAAATCTTATATTAAATTTTCTTTTATTAATTAATGTGGGAAATGTGATTTATCATGTTTAATCAGTTGATAAGAAATTTGAAAGTGTTTTAAATTTAATCAGTATCTTATGTTCCTGTAAGCCATTGAATAAAATTTGTGGTTCCAGATGTGTATTGATATCAGATCTCGAGTTGGCAGGTCTGAAAATTGTTACTGTTGATATTTAATGTATTTAACTTCCTTAGATCTAAAATTTGTTTGGATTAAAGAACTATTTAGTTACCTCACTTTTAATTAGTCTTATCTGAATTTTTTGAAATCAATGTTTATTGTTGAATTGTCTTTCAGAAATGGTCTATTTGACATGAGAGGGCCAAGGTTCCTCACTAGAGCATTAGGACCGGTTCTCTTATGTCTGAGGGATTGTCCTATTAAAAAGGTCTGACATTCCAACTACATGTAGATCTATACATGATTATGAGAGAAAACACCCAGAAACTATTTCCTGAGGTAATTTTAAATAAAACTAAATGGGTTGTTATATATATATATATGTGTTTACACTTTTCAAAATTTATGTACATGTATATTTGTATCTTAATTAGTTTTTGGGATATTTTTTTTATTGAATTTTTTATTTGGACTACAGCCAATGGTTCATTAACATGATCAGTTTAATCATAAAAAATTGCAACATTGTTACTATAAAATATATATACAGTCAGGGGAATTATTGAAATTGGTTATTTATAAATCACTCATTTAAGTAGCAAATTAGAAATTCTTTGATTTTGTAATTTTACCAAAATTTTAAACATACAAGTTTATATTATATCTTATTATTAGTAAAATTGAAAAAAAAATGAACCTTTTGCATGTTTTAAGTAGCAAGGTTTATGCCTTTGATGCAATCATTCAGCTGTAAATTCTATATTTGTTGAAAAAAAGTTATAATGAAGGCTTATAATTTAACATAATGAAATATCAAATTCTTAACAGATTTTTCCAAGCAGTGCCAGTGGGAGTATTTTTCCTGTAAACTGTAAGGTTTTATCTTAAGAGATTATAATTGTAATAAAATTTTATTGTTTTCGATCAAAATTTCACTGTTCATGGGTGTTGCAATTAGTGGGGGTAATCAAAATGATGATACTTAAAGAAGTGATTTTTTGGGAAGAAAATAGTCTAGAGGTATCCACTTAATCAAGTGATTTTCATGTCATTATCCCAGATTCAGTACAAGGTCATCACCTGACATAGCCTGTCATCTTATGAACACAGATGTTGGTTCTGATAATTTTAGCAACATAACTAGTCCCTGGATCATTAGTATTATATATTTAAAGCTTCATGTACAACAAAATTAAATCACTTAGTCCATGTAGTCTAGTTATTTATTTATAATACTTAAATAGGTGATGATTAAAGAAAGACAACTCTTACTTCCAACATTACTGGACAAAATGTTACTTGAATCAGTGATTTAAGGTCACTCATTTCAGTAATTCCCCTGACTAATATATATATCATGTATACATGTATATATAAAGTAAATATTTCATAATAGATTTATTATATTTATAAACAGAAATACATGTATGTTACATGTCATCATGTTTTGCAAATTTTGAGGTTCAGTTACACTTCCTACATATTGTACTACATGTAATACTAATTTTTATGCCCCCGCCGTAGCGGAGGGGGCATTAAGTTTTACCCTTGTCCGTCTGTACGTACGTCCCAAAATTGGTTTCCGTTCTCCAACTTGAGTATGCCTCAACCAAATGATATGAAACTTATACACAATGCTTATTACCACAAAACACAGATCAAGTTTGAATTTTGGTGGTGTCACTTGAACCGTTCTAGAGTAATGCCCCTTTATAAATGGAAAAATTGCAAAATATTTAGTTTCCGTTCTCTAACTTAAGTTTGCCTCAACCAAATGTTATGAAAATTATACACAATGCTTATTATACCCCACGCAACGAGTTGCGGAGGGTATAATGTTTTTGACCCGTCTGTCTGTCAGTCCTGTTTCTTGTCATCGCAACTCCTCTGAAACCACACAACAGAATTTCATGAAACCTTTTCAGATAATAAGGACATACTACGTAGATGTGCATATCGACAGGAAATTACGATTCAATTTTTTTTCTAGGAGTTACAACCCTTTGAACTTATTTGCTTCAATATACTACTGCAACAGTTTGTCATCGCAACTCCTCTGAAACCAGACAACAGAATTTTATGAAACCTTTTTAGATAATAAGGACATACTATGCAGATGTGCATATCGACAGGAAATTACGATTCAATTTTTTTTTTAGGAGTTACGCCCCTTTGAACTTATTTGCTTCATTATACTACTGCAACAGTTTGTCATCGCAACTCCTCTGAAACCACACAACAGAATTTCATGAAACATTTTTAGATAATAAGGACATACTATGTCGATGTGCATATCGACAGGAAATTACGATTCAATTTTTTTTCTAGGAGTTATGCCCCTTTGAACTTATTTGCTTCATCGCAACTACTCTGATTCCACACAACAGAATTTCATGAAACCTTTATAGATAATAAGGACATACTATGCAGATGTGCATATCGACAGAAAATTACGATTCAATTTTTTTTCTAGGAGTTATGCCCCTTTGAACTTATTTGCTTCAATATACTACTGCAACAGTTTGTCATCGCAACTCCTCCGAAACCACACAACAGAATTTCATGAAACTTTGTAGATAATAAGGACATACTACGTAGATGTGCATATCGACAGGAAATATTGATACAATTTTTTTTTCTTACTATTATTTTATTTCTCCAGTGACAATGTGGGGACGTGGGGTATGTGAGCGTGCTCACTAAGGTTCTTTAATTACCACTAAATACAGATTAAGATTGAATTTTGGTGGCGTCAATCAAACCGTTCTAAGAGTAACGCCCCTTTATAAATGGAAAAATTGCAAAATTTTTTGTTTCCGTTCTCTAACTTAAGTTTGCCTCAACCAAATATTATTAGACTTACACACAATGCTTATTACCATAAAACTCAGATCAAGTTATAATTTGGGTAGCGTCACTTTTACCGTTCTTCAGTTATGTCCCTTTATAACTTTACAATATGCAAGCGGGGGCATCATCTGTGTCCACGTGTGGACACAATCCACATTTATTTTATATGTATCATAGTATGAATAAAAAGAGATATGAGTATATGTCAATGAGACAGCAACCCAATGACAAAAATCTTCAACAGATATCCATAGGGTACGCTACATGTGTAGTATCCAATAACTTCAAAGATGGAAAGGTGTTTTTGTCGAGCCTGCGACTTCTGTCGCAGAAAGCTCAGCATAGGGATAGTGATCGGGCAGCAGCATTAACTTACTTCTTAAAAGCTTTATATTTTAGAAGGTGGACTTGGATGCTTCATACTTTGTATATAGATGCCTTATGTTATGAAGTTTCGGTCTGCAGGGTTTAAGCTTGGATTTTGAGGGCTTTAGTCACTTTTGAGCGAGATGAAAATCAACATTATTTTGGGTAACAGCAAGGGACCAAGGATGTATGTATATTACTCCTTCAAAGTCTGACAAAGATGTATTACTAGCTATACATCTTTGTCAGACTTTGAAGGACTAAGGCATCAATTTACTAGGCAAATGATGAAACTTGCATCATGATTCACAAGTCAGCATTAAGACATTTACTTATACAATAATATGCACTTTTTCTTTCAGGAACGTGTATAAACTAGTGAATTGATGGTTTAACTTCCAAGATGTAATGAGAGATGTCAAGTAATGAACAAAAAGAAGTATCATGAAGTTAGACAATACAACTTGAGGTGTCAGAATATATAGATGGGTTTTGTCAAAATGTGAACTGTAACACTGGGATCAAATATGTGATTTTTTTTCTATATTTTCATATCTATTTACTGAGTTTATTGCTGCCCAAAACGAGGTTATTGCCTCTACTTTACAACATAATTTGTCATACATAATTTGATTGTATATCTTTTTGTGACAATAAATGTTGATTATTAGGGCCCAGTAGTTGACATGAGCTCAATACAGTAGTCTCTCTGTTTGTCTGTCTGTCAATACTTCTATTTCATATAATAAGTCAAGATTGTCTCAACTAATTTAAAAAATTAATGTGCTAAATGGAAATAAATTTAAAAGGAAGGTCCCTTGTGTTTTATGTAAAATTTGGGAAAAAGTGGTAGAAAACTTGGTATTTGTAAAAAAATCACAAATTTTGAGAAAACGTTTCCGCAAAATTTGATATACGAGTTATGATAGGACGGCGTGCATAAAGCTGAGTCCACAAACGTAACGTCTTCAAATTACTTCAATCATTTACAACGTCGGCATTTTCCCCCAGAAAACAAACGCGTAACAAAAACACTGGACACTAAGTTTATCACATAGCTTTAAACATAAACGTTCAACATATTTCTTTTTTTTTATATATATTCCGAAGGCATACTGAATATTTTACGGAGGGAACCAACCTACAACAACGGTCGTTTCTAAGGGCTTGCTTTCCGACTGGTTGCCTTATAATCGGGATAAGGTGAGAAAACAGTGACATCCCGTTAGTCCGACAACCATTATTCCGACATCCTATTACTCAGACAGCCCATTATTCCGACATCCCATTATTCCGACAGCTCATTATATATTCCGAAACTGCAACTGTCATAAGTGTATGGGTAAATTTTCTCTAAAAGACCAAATCCGTTCTCGATTATATTTGTGGTTGTCCGTTTATTCCAATTATTCTTCTCATGCGAGATATTTGTCCCAGTGCCTCAGTATCTTCGTTTCCACCTTTTCGCTTTCCGGATCCGGGTATTTTATTTGTCTTTGTATTTCGGCGTTTGTGTGTCCATTGCCATTCAGTGCTGTTCTAGTCCCCGGTTTTGTTTTGTCTCTTGACTCTCGGTTTCCCCTTTCGTATCAAGGGAGTGAAGTTTCACCACTATTAGCTACATAAATAAATATATTAGAGTTGTAACACTTGCAACTCCGTGTATCACTCAACTAAAATTATTTAATTCTGTCGCGGAAAATGGCGACAAATGAAGCGTCAGTTAAAAATAAGGATAACCACGAGACAAATACAAACCAAGGGCCCAGAAAAAATAGATGACAAATAGGACGAACTAGGTGCTCCAAAATATGAGCAACTACTAGCTGCTCCTACCAAGACACCCACCGTGCGTTTGATGAAGTCATGATCCACGAAATACATAGACAGTACGCGGCACTTCCCATAACGGTCGTTTATAGACATAGACATGACACTCAATATATTTGTAGGGGTATATCCGAGCTTATCTTAAAATCTAGAAAAACATGCCAATTTAATAATGCAATTGGGGTGGGAAGGGGGGAAGCTGGGGAGTTATCGAGGACAAAAAGATACACGCGTACAATTGCATGTACAACAGGGATAGCAAATAGCCCCTTGAGGTCGAGGGTCCTGATGAATTGAGTATAAAATAACAAGATATTTTAGCCAGATATGTACATGGAAAATAACACAAGTAAAACATAGGAGTTTGATATGTTATGTATAGTTTTTTATAGGCCCTTCACCATCTTTGTGAACTTTTCAAACAATATTCATGACTCGAATGCAGTTTCTACTTCCTTTGGAAATTTCAGGGCTGTAGATCTATTATAAAGATCCAGAGCCCTTTATTTTTCCTAAAATAGATTGTATGCAACGATCCCCTGATTATGCAAAATTTCTGGCAATGACCAATTGATGGAAATATCTTAGAAATGTTCTTTGGTGGACTACATGTGATTTCTAAAAAAAAAAGCAGCCAATGGTATGTTGTACAGCGTCTTAACAGAGATCACCCAATCAGCTTAAATCATTATAATCGTCCGAAATTCGTAAATCTTTATGTCACCGACCATTTATCTTTTGTGAGGGAGGGGGGGGGGGGGGGGGTGGCATGTTTTTTTCTTAATTGTTTGATTTGAAAAAAAAAATATTCATAAATAAAGCCCCAAAAAAAGTATTTAATTTGAACGCTGTGTACCTGTTGAATGAATACTGTTTCAAAACAAATATTACTTAACTATTTAAAACCTTTTTTTGCTTTGCATTTAAAAAAAAATAGACTCTAGAAAAAAACTATGCCCCCCTCCCCTTACAATAGATGAATGCTCGATGCCTTGGTATTCCCGGCAGCAGAAAATGGTAATTCAAGATATTCTATGTGCGGGTTATTTCGAGCTATAGGGACATCTCGGACCACAACAAACTTGGACCGTTGCAAACTTGGACTACTTCTTTATTGAATTTGATTGGCTGTTTGTTCTTGTGTAATATAAAAGAAATGATATGTGGTTTGCTTGCCAATGAGACAACTGGGTCATTATCAAAAAAACATGCAGAACCATGTTATTTGGTATGTTTAAGTCAAAAGACATGAAAATATATCAAAATGTATCTAAATAACACTTGCATATGTTAGATATGAATGCTTTGTGATACACTATATACAGTTTACAGTATGAAATGTTATAAAAACATCCTTAATATTTTCTTAAACCCTTGGATATAGCCAGAATCAACTGTTATTTTTAACTATTAATCCTTTCAGACCTGAAATAGGACTATTATTCATATCATTTGTTATTAGGATTTATCACTTTTTATTGCATTTTGATACATACAAACATTCTTTAATGATTTGGGAGGTGTATGTTGGTTTTATAATAAAAAATTTCACCAAAAGGAAAAGTCTCATTTTTAAAGTCAATGGTGTAAACAAAAGACAAATTAGTAGGGTAAGAGTTATCTTTCTCAAGATTTCAGCATTTGCAATAGTTGCTCCCTTAGCAATTATACCTGTAAGCATGTTATGCAAAAGAAAACAAACATTTATGTTGAAAATTTAGTGAAAAAATCTTAAAAGTAAGTAAAAGCTATATCATAAATGAAAATAGTGTCCATGGTGTACCCTTATAAAAATCATTTTTTGAAAACATTTCCTGAACTTTGAATTATGAAATATATTGATTATAGAAGCATGCACCAGTAACAACATATAAATTAGGGGAATGGAGCATTTATTTCGTAACTAAATCTTAAAATACACCTTAAATCATTGGTGTTACTGTCAATGGTGAGACCATTTTGATAAAATAACACCATTGACCAGTTTAGTAACACCACTGAATATATCATGACAATCAGCATTGTTTGTGTTTCTTTCGTGTTTAACAAGCGAAACATCATATTATTTATGAAAAACAATACTTATTTAACAATGTTTTAACAATATCATGTATTACATATACAAAGTTTTCACAAACTGACGTATGCTGGTAACACCAATGACACTATTTAGTAACACTATTGACATTTTTAGTTATTGATGTTATGTTATATAATTTGAGAATTTTTAGCCTAAGAATTATTTTTTCATCTTTTTCTTTTGCTCGGTGTTCTTGGCTTTGTGTTCAGTACTTAATAAAAGTAAAATTTGATATGTGATGTCAATGGTGATACTTTTGTGTCATTGGAGTTACTGAAGGGTCAGTGGTGTTACTATATAAAAATGCGACATTTTTTAATTTTTAATCATAAATAAAAGTGTTTTTATGTCGTATACGAAGGATTAGGTATATTATTATCATTTAATCTTATACATTTTATATATATTCAGTTTAAGTGTATTTATTAGTATTTACAACGGCCATAATTAGGACAGCCAACTTTTTTACGACAATGTATTCTGAAATTTATGTTTGAATAGAATGCACAGCTATATGAATAATGTCAATAAGTCGTAATTTCAACCTAACAACAAATTGGAACAGTTGTTTGATGTTTAACAATAATATTTAGTACCTAAATGTATGTTTTAAATTGGTAACACCATTGATACGATTCTATCAAAGGATGACCTAAAATTGTTAAAATTAAAGGAACTCTTCGTTTTTCCCATTGCATATTTCTGAATATCGTTGCTACCATACTATAGAATAGAGGGACACATTTAAATGTTTTAAACAATGACATCATTTTTCAAAATATTACCTCGTCGAAATTTGCACTTTTTTTTTATAATGACCCATCTACCACCAAAGTTCAAACGAAGTGGATGTAAGCAATTATAGGCAACCGTACGGCCTCCAATAATGAGAAAACTCCATACCGTATTATGCTATAAATGGTCCCGACATGAAAAATATGAAAAAAATCAATTGAGAAAACTAACGGCTTAATTTTTAACAAAACAATAATAGAATTGACGTGGTAGGGTATTTATAATAAATCCCTCATTACAACAAAAACACAAAGTACGGATCTGAGAGTACTCGCAGTTACTGACACTAGTTCAAAGCCAATAACAACTAATAAGAAAATCATGTGTCTAAGACATTGTGTGTCTTTCTTGTCCCGCGTTAGTCTTTGTCAAATGATTTTCCTTTTCCTGGACTAACGCTTGATTTGTCTGCCATTCATTGGTTAAGTCAAGAAAATAGTTGAGGCAATCTGACTTTGCATAACACTAATGTATAGATTTTTTTGTAATTTTGGAGTAAACTGGGGAAATGGGGAATATGTCAAAGAGACAACAACCCGACCAAAGAGCAGATAACAACCGTCGGAAGGCCACCAATGGGTCTTCAACGCAGCGAGAAAATCCCGCACCCGGAGGTGGGCCTCAGCTGGCCCCTAAATAAAAATGTGTACTAGTTCAGTGAAAATGGACGTCATACTAAACTCCTAAACATATAAATGAACTAAAATTTAAAAACATACAAGACTAACAAAGGACAGAGGCTCCTGACTTGAGACAGGCGCAAAAATGCGGCGGGGTTAAACGTGTTTTGTGAGATCTCAACCCTCCCCCTATACATCTAGCCAATGTAGAATAAAGAAACACACAACAATACGCAGTTTAAAAGAAGTCCGAGTCTGTTATCAGAATAGGTAACAAAAGAAACTAAGCAAACTGACAATGATACATAAATTAACAATGGACTACTAGCAGTTACTGACATGCCAGC